ACCGTTAACCATTTAACAGGTTTTTACTGTAGCATTTTTACAGTCTTTTACCGTTAAATTCACGGTCATTTTTTACAGTTTTTCCCATACTATGGAAGTCAATGGCTACCGTCAACAGTTTGGTTACCGACATTCTTTCCTTCAGTTCAACAAGACACTCACACAGGTTAGGAACGACTTCAGGCTGAGCAAATGATGACAATTTTCATTTTTGGGGGAACTGTCCCTTTAATGTTTTTGAAAGACGTCTCATGTTCAACCAAGGCTGCATTTATTTGATAAAAAATACAGTACTACTGTTTTCTGTTTTAATGTATTTACAAATGTTATTTATAATACAATACGTACTGTATTATATGTACTAGGGATGCACCGATACTGGTATCGGTATCGGGCCCGATACTGGTCTCCTGTACTCGTACTCGTACTCGTTATGCTGTCATTAAGGCTAAGGGTCAAAGTATTGATAGTTGTGTAAATACTGTCATACTAACAGCTGTCTGATTTTTGGTTGATTGTAATCCATTAGGCTACATACCTTTCTATCAAAGTTATCTAACATTATCAAGCTGAATTTGTTCTGACTCCGTTTAACTCTGAGTTCTTGTTATATTTTATTACCATGTTATAAACTATAGTGAATAAACTGTGATAATGTGAGAAATGTTGAAGGTGTCTGAATAAATTTTGGTTTGACTGTATCTATTTGATAAATAAAGTTAACCAACTAACATTATACATACTCTTTTGGTTTCTGTACCCAATATTTTAAAAATTTACAAATGCAATAAAAATATTGGTATCGGTACTCGGTATCGGCAAGTACCAAAAATAAAAGTATCGGTATCGGGCGAGTACTGGAAAAAGTGGTATCGGCGCATCCCTAATATGTACTATAATGGTTTAACACTTACCCACTGCCCCATCAGGCGGGGCGATCTTCATGGGGTAGGGGGGCACGTGAGCCGTGTCGGGACCGCCGTCTTTACAGGGGCAGGTGAAGGGAATTCGCTCCTGGTTGCAGGCGAACTTGATGAACTTGCTGAGCTCCTCCTGCGTGAACATCTCGAGCGCGGCCCAGAAGAACTCAATGTGCTGGTCCGTCTCCATCAGTCCCACCTGATACATGGTGTGAGCCTGGATGGAGGCGATCAGGAGAACGGGTTCGGTTAGTTAACTAGTCGCAGGTGCTGTTTGTGCACCTGACAGCTGTGTAATAAGTGGCATAACGTACAGTCAGTCATTAAACACCTTCAGAGTGACACAAAACTCCCTTGTGTGAGGGACGTGATAGGTAAATTTAAAAAAATGACCACTAAATGAGCAACAAAGGAAAACTGATCACAGTATTAGTGCAGTAAAGGTGTTCGCTCAAAGTACCGACTGAATGAACAAAATGAAAATGTATTGTAATTTAAATTGACATTAAATGCAATTAGCTGAACTTCGGAGTGCTTTTAACCAAAGGGAGAGTTCACCCAAAAATTAAAAAAAATGTGCTGTTCATTTACTCACGCGCAGGCTGTCCAAGACATAGGTGACTTTAATCTTCGGTCGAATTTTGGTAATTCATAAAATGCAAGTCAATGGCCACCGTCACTTTAAGAGTCAAAAAAAGCATATCAAGTGACACACAACTAATACCCGTGACTCCTGACGTTATATTGAGGTCTTATGAAGCGAAACGATTAGTCTGTGCAAGAAACTGAACATTATTTATAACATTATTACCTGTAATCCAGAGCCTCAGGCAACCGGGGAAATCTGATTCTTTTCAGCGGTTCTTTCGGATAGTTCGTTTCAATTAACTGATTCAAATAACAACTCACCAGTTTGTTTATGTAAACACGCAATCACGTAACATATACGCAATTATTAAAGTATCCAATATTGATGTGAAATGTGGATGTTTTACATGTCTAAAGCATATAAACTTGTCTTTTTTTTTACATAAATATTATCAATTATCAACAATATCAGCGGCTCATCGGTCCTCAGTTCAGTGACTACTGGAGGAATTGGAGAGCTGAATCAGTTCATTCATCTGAGGATCAGATACGACGGCATAATGGCTCGTTTTGAGTCGGAGTGACTGTCAGGCGTCCGAAAGTGAGTTTTGATTGAGTAGATCTGTGCTGCTCGAGCCGCAAACTGTTTCAGACGCTTCAGTGCGATTTGATGAACTGGTTCATCCTGTTCACTAAAAAGAACCGGTTCAAAAGAATGATTCGTTCGTGAACCGGACAACACTGTTTGCCTGAGGCTCTGGATTACAGGTAATAATGTTGTAAATAATGTTCAGTTTCTTGCACAGACTGATCGTTTCGCTTCATAAGACCTCGATATATCGTCGGTAGCCACAGGGATTCATCTTGTGTCACTTGATATGCTTTTTTTGACTCTCAAAGTGACGGCAGCCAGTGACTTAATTTTCTGAATCACAAAGGAGCACGGTTTCAGCTAAAAATCTTCTTTACTCTTCTACTGAAGAAAAAAGTCACTTACATCTTAGATGGCCCGAGGGTGAGTAAATTAACAGGAAAGTTTCATTTTTGCGTGAACATGCACTTCACGGGTTTCACTTCTTTTTCACGAGGGATGAGAAGCAAGTCGACAAAGATGAATGCAAGCGATAAAATTTCCAAGTCTGCAAATGAATGAAAGAACGGAGGAGGCCGAGTTGAGCGGTTCACCGTCTGACCTTGAGGAACTCCAGGTCGATGTCCGGCAGGCCGCAGGTGCGCAGCTCCATCTCAGCGGGGCTCAGTAAGGTCAGGAGCTGCAGGGGTATGATGGAGCCCAGACCGGCGCGGATGGCTGACATACACTCCACATTCTGCAGCTCCCGCAGGCGCAGATCTCGCACCGCTCGCACATACACATCTCTATTCTCCCAGCTGAACAAACACAAGTACATGCATTAGAGACCATCGATCTATTAACTTCAAGAAGCACCTAACATTTCTTTATTTGAGCATCCCTACATCCCTAATGTGAAGTACAACTTCAGCTACATGAATAGTATTAAAGGGATAGTTCACCCAAAAACAGTAGCCATTGACTTCCATAGTATTTTTTTACCATAAAAAAATACCGTCCTTCAGAATACCTTCTTTTGTGTTCAACAGAAGCCAGAAACTCGTACAGGTTTGGAACGAATCGAGGGCGAGTAACTGATGACAGGATTTTCATTTTTGGGAGACCCGTCCCTTTAAATAGGTTGGTCGATGGCTCCTACCTGACGGCGATGTCACTTCCTCCGTGGCACAGCTCTATTTCCTCTCCAGTCATGGTGATGTAAGTGAATGTGCAGCAGGGACGGCTCGGTGAATCCGGGCTCTCGCCCAAGTGGCTCTGCGACGACACTTCAGCACATAACGCTTCCAGCTCCGCCTCATCGGGCAACTGTGAACAAGACGAGAGAACAAGACGACGGGTTCAGGATTAAAGCAGGAAGTGATGAAGAATACACTTAGCGTACTTTTAAAAAGAGACCTTCTTTTGTGTTCAACAGAAGACAGAAACTCGTACAGGTTTGGAACGAATCGAGGGCGAGTAACTGATGACAGGATTTTCATTTTTGGGAGAACCGTCCCTTTAAATAGGTTGGTCGATGGCTCCTACCTGACGGCGATGTCACTTCCTCCGTGGCACAGCTCTATTTCCTCTCCAGTCATGGTGATGTAAGTGAATGTGCAGCAGGGACGGCTCGGTGAATCCGGGCTCTCGCCCAAGTGGCTCTGCGACGAGACTTCAGCACATAACGCTTCCAGCTCCGCCTCATCGGGCAACTGTGAACAAGACGAGAGAACAAGACGACGGGTTCAGGATTAAAGCAGGAAGTGATGAAGAATACACTTAGCGTACTTTTAAAAAGAGGACTAATAATATACTTAAGTGTGAACTGAATGTAATGCTTTCAGACACTTAATGTTAATTGCAATTAAATGTTTCACAGTTTAAATTTAGAATAAATGCAATTAGCTGAACGTTAGAGTGTTTTTGACCCACTTAAGTAGGACTTAAGTACATCTTTATATGCAGTTTCATAATTACTTCTATTGTCTTTGAAATATGATTAATGCACTGCTGAATGTACTGACAAGCATTTATGGAAACTAAAATATACTTTAATGCATTTCTATTGAAACTTGTATGACATGTATTTAAATATATTTGTAATTACACATTTGTAAAGTTGCAATTTATTACATTTAAAATATATTAACTTTACATGTAACACTGAATAACACACTCATAATCAAGTGCTTTACATGTGCTTTAGTTTGTTAGTCAACACATCAAAATGATTGTAATTGTTAAAAAACATGATTATTAAAACAATTATTGAACATTTTTTTTTTAAATTTGACATTTACACTTTTTAAAAGTGTGCTTAAGTGTGTTAAACGACATGAAAGTGTCTCTCTTTAAGTCACTTAAGTGGCCTTTTATTTCATTAATATTAAATTATGTGCAGTTATTTGAGATAATAAAAAAACTATTTTTTATCAGTTTTTATATTTTTTATTTTCATTTTAATTTGTTAAAAGTTTTTGTAATTTAGTTTTTTGTCATTTGTTTTTTATATATAGTCTATATAGTTTCCATATTTATTTCAGTTTTTGTTATTTCAAGTAAGTAAATCAAGTTAAACTAAATCAAAATGACAGTGTTGCCTTTTTATTTCAGTTACCATTTATTTTATTTCAAGCAACAAAAACGTTTTTTTTTTTTTTGTTTTTTTTTAAATGGTTTTAATTTTAGTTTCAGTTTACTATAAGAACCCTGATCTACAATACAGTTTATACATAACTGTGACCCTGGAGCACAAAAGCAGTCTTAAGTCGCTGGGGGATATTTGTAGAAATAGCCAAAAATACATTGTATGGGTCAAAATTATAGATTTTTCTTTTATGCCAAAAATCATTAGGATATTAAGTAAAGATCATGTTCCATGAAGATATTTGGTAAATTTCCTACCGTAAATATATCAAAACTTAATTTTTGATTAGTAATATGCATTGCTAAGAACTTCATTTGGACAACTTTAAAGATGACTTTCTCAATATTTAGATTTTTTTTGCA